GCCCTGCATCGGTAGCATCATCATCACCATCACCACGCCGTCGTGCTGACGAAACTCTCCTGTGGAGCTTTGCTGGATCGGAGCTCGCGGGACGTCATCGAGCTGAACGTGTGCTAAACTCGGAGGTGGCGTACGTTCGGTATTTGGATTGGTCGGATCGTGAAGACGTACGACTACATCAACCGCGTTGTTCTAACGCTTCCGCTTTCGTTCTACGAGGGTACGTGGACAACACTCTCCCCTCTCGTTGCTATGCATCACCATGATCTTGCATGTGCGTAGGATTTTTTTTTTGAAATTACTACGTTCCCCAACAGGCATCGTTGTTGAGAAGTTCCAGGCCACTATCTGCTACTTTCGGGGGAAACCCTAGATCAGTAGATCGGATGATGGCGGCATTATTGTGTCGTTTCCCTCTTGTGGCCTCATTCTTGAAGGTGTACACGGGGTCGAGGGAACAATGGACGGAATAATTGGTGGAGCGGTGATTCATCATGCATATTAATGGTGGCGATTCTCGACGGCGTGGCGCAGTGGAGACTCGGTGCCCGATGTGTGGCGTGGGTCTCGCGCAGGAGGGTGACGTTATCAGGCGTCGTGGTGGTGTCGATGGCAGAGAGGCGGGGCAAGGTGGTGCAGCAGTACATCACTGAAGATGGATTGGTGGCAGGTGTCTGCGGCGGCCTCATATCCAGCAGGGGTCCTGGTTGAGAAGTGCGCCGGACTGGTAGGTGCCCCATATCCGACAGGCGTCCTAATTGGGACCTCAGGACTTAGATGTTTAGGTTTGGCTGTGATGTCTGTTTGGTATTAGGCACAGACTATCAGCGCCCCTTCATCAATTGCATAGAAGTAGCGACAGTTGTTTAGATGGTGGTTTTAGTCTTCCTACTGTATGACTTTGTAAGGTCTTGTAAGAATAATTAAAAAATGGCTGTATGCATGGTCCAGATGCAGAGGCCCGGGTCCTCCTCCTTTCAAAAAAAAAATTAAAAAATTTGGTAAACACTAGCTCTTATATGCACGAGCACACCGATCGATTCGTGGCAACAAGGCGATCGACTCATTGCAACAAGTCGATCGATCGCCATGGCGCCGCTGGACGAGATGCCGGTAGAGGAACGGCGGGAGTTTGTGAGGCGGAGCGTGAAAGCCTATCCATGCGTCACGGCGCTGGACCAGGAGCAGCTGGAGGCGGCTATCGACCGGATCCTGGAGCAAAGCCACCCTGACAACCTCGGCCGTCGTGACGGCAGAAAGCCTCGCCATGAGCTGGCCATTGCTTTGATATTTGGCGCGGATCACCTGAGTGTAAAGGAGGAACTAGACGTGAGACTAGAACGTGCCAGGTTTCCGACGACTACTGTGCCAACCGGGCAGAAATCGAGGCGGAGGGCAAGGAGGTATGGAAGAACATGAGATTCCCCGCAGCTCTCTTCGACATGGATGACCCTGAGCACCAAGGAGGAGGAGCAATAGAAGCAGCAGGAGAAGAAGAAGATGGAGAAGGAGCAACAGAAGGAGGAGCACAAGAAGCAGGACAAGGGCAAGGAGAAGAAGATCTCCACCACAAGGTTTACCAACGCTATGGAGAAGAAGGACAAGGAGAAGAAGAAGAAGAAGACTATGGTGATGAAGCAGAGGTGCAACGGAGGATTTGGGTCAAGGTGAAGCTATCGACTTTTCCCGAGGCCGTAGTGCTAGAACCACATGAGCTGGAGGCCGCCATCGACAGGATCCTCAACCCAGTGCCTGCAGACGATTATTCCACTCACATGACATGTGCCGACATCAATTTGGTTTTGGCCTATATAAGACAAAGGATCTAGTCGATGACAATATGCATCCGGAGGAGTTCCAGGCTATGGTCCGCCGTGACTTGATCACCCGGGGCAGATGGGGTCAGGCGTCGAACGAGTCGACAGCAGCAGCAGGATGTGACACATCCATCAAGGCTTGGGCAGCGCCCCAGCGCCGGATGCACCCGTTGCCTTTCGAGCTGCAGGATGCGAGACATCCATCGGGGCTGTTGTATTTCAAAATTTTAAGCAAATTTTGCTCATTTTTCGTCCCAAAATTCAAATTCTGTTTTATGATTTTCGTCCGCAATTCTCCGAAAAAATCCGAAAAAACGAAATTCGCCCATTTCGTCCAGGACCGGTAAAAATCAAAAAACGAAATCCAAAATATTTGTTCACGGTAGCCCGACGCGGTTGGTGGGGCCCCTCTCCTACAAAGGGGCTGGATGGGATGTGCTGGTGAACAAGTAATGGTTGCCACAGTTGTCGCCTGCGCCGCCGGCAAGGAGGCGTTGTGCCGTGGATCTGGGCTTTCGTGGGCAAGGATGATGGAGCTTGTGGCTACCAATGGTGGTGGTGTCGAATTCAGATCAGCCATCAGCTGCCCCTCAGAAGATAGTAGATGCCTCTTGAGCGTCCCATAGGGATTTCAGTGATGCGAGTGACCTTCATCTTCCATCAGTGTCTATCGTGCTGTGGTGAGCAGCTCTTGTAGCGGTTCAGTTACCTGCTCATGTGTGCATGCTCACCCGCCGTCAGGTCAGTGCGTGTTTGCAGCCAATGGACTCGTGGCAAATGAAGGAGATAACACATGACGAATTCGATTGGGTGGTCCATGGAGTACTCGGTATTGTACTCAAGGGGGAAACCCTAGGACTAGCCTCTTAATTATCGGTTATGCCTAGCAATGGCGGCGCATTTGGCATCGTTACCCTGATGAAAAATAGAAGGAAAATCGGCCCGCTACAACCACTCACGCATGTACGTCCTCCCCTCTATTCCCTCTATACACTGGATTTATTTCTATGAGGTTAATCAAAGTATTTGTTTTTTAGAGGAGAGAGGGGTTGATGGAGGATGAGGAATTGATTAACGGTAAATAGAATCGACAATACCATCTAATGTCTATAAGTATTCTAAAGATATTTGTTAGACATGATTGATGTTAAACCATTATAATGTGGAGGCAACACACAAACATTTTACTAGTATATGTAGTATTCGAGTGAGTTCATGCATAATTTTATTAAAACATGTTTTTTTTTCTTCATAAACTCCGTCACATGTGGAAATTACTTCTGCCTCTGCCACTGTTCCAACAGACTGCACTTGCCCATTTGCTGTGTGTGGGGATTTAATCGCAGACAAGAGTTGTCAGTGTATCTTCCTGCTTGGTGGTGAACCGGTAGGACGCGTAGGAGAGCGTGGCGTTGGACCAGCTGCGGTGGATGAGCTTCGCCTTGGCCTCCGGCCCGGCCGCACCGAGCGCGACGTGCAGCGGGTAGAAGTGGTCTGGCCGCGGGTGCGCCACCTTGGCGAACGGCGCCCTCTGCTCGTACCGCTTCACGTCGTCGTGCCGTCCGTTGAGTAAAGACTCTCTGAGCCAGGCGTCGAACTCGGCCGCCCACTCCGGCACGGGCTCGTCGCTGGTGGGCGCGAACGTCCGCAGGATCCGGCGCAGGTTGTGCGTGGCGCTGCCGGAGCCGATAATGAGCACGCCGTCTTCCCGGAGCGGCGCCAGCGCCCTGCCGAGCTCGTAGTGGTAGGTGCCGTCGCGGTCCGTCTGCACCGAGAGCTGGCACACCGGGATGTTGGCCTCCGGGTACATGAGCATCAGCGGCACCCAGGCGCCGTGGTCGAGCCCGCGGCCGTGGTCCTTGCTCACCGGCCCGAATCCGGCGTCCTCCAGGAGCTTCTTGGTCCTAATGGCCACGTCCGGCGCGCCCGGCGCAGGGTACGTCAGCTGCATATGTGCATGGTAGCAACGTCACCTCGTGACAGATTCGTATATAGCTCGCGGATTCGTATATAGGTAGGGACTACGTAGAATTAATTAAGGCGACCTTGTACATCTGCTCTGGGAAGCCGTAGAAGTCGTAGATGGTGTCGTTGGTGCCGTGGATGACGTTGACGGCCGGGGTGTCCGTCTCCCAGTGGCCGGACACGATGAGGATGGCGCGAGGCGGCTGCGGTCCGGCGAGACCGGCCGGCTCCCACGACTTGAGGAAGTGGCGCGCCGGCAACGAGCCGTCGATGGAGAGCGTGGGTGAGCCATGGGAGATGTAGAACGTGTCCATGGCCATCGTCAAGGACGCACTGGCTGCTGCTGCCCTTGGGTTCCTTCCCATGCTCCCGACCTGCTGTTTAAATATTCTCGTTGCCCGTGTAACGCACACCATTGCCCAAGTGCACAGTTGAACGGTGCTACCTCGGCGGTTTGGGGCCTGGTTTGGTGGCCAGAACTTGTCCGGCGTGCTGGGTTGGTCTGTGGTCAAGCTCCTTCTTGTGCCAACATGGGCCTAGGGATGCCTGGTGCTATCAGACCTTTGGTAGAGGCCACCGTTGCTTTAAAGGAATAATGTTTCGTACGGTGGCACTATGTAAACCTTTGATTCAAAGGAATCTAGCAAAGGAAAAAAAATTAAGGAAAAATAATCTCAGTTTCAGAGGAAAAACACAAGAATTTGATAACCCACCTAGACCTTTCTCTTAGTTTTTTATGCACGAAGAACGAGACTGAGATCCTTAGTGCAACAATAAGGCCTCCTTTGGTTTAAACGAAAAGTGAAGGGAACACATAAGAACAGAAATCTTCCTTATGGTGGCACATTCAAGGCCTTGTTTCAAAGAAATGTAACAAAGAAAAAATGGAGGAAATTTTTCCTTTCGTCACAATTTTAGAAGGAAAAAACATAGGAAATTTTACAATTCATTAGGGGCTCTTTTCAAATTCCTATGCACGAGGAACGAGACTAAGATCCTTCCTAGTATAATAACATGTTAAGTATTGATTTCCATCAGGTTTTACTTTGATTTGACTCTCTTCACTGGGATTCTTATGTTTTCCTATTCCTGTGAATCAAACACTCAATTTTGCAAAAGGCATACTTTTCCCAATCCTTTGTTTTATACATGCATTCCTCAAATGTACCCAAGAACAAACATATGATTGTACGACCCATATTGATGGACTAGTCCACGAACTTTTGCCACTCAAATTTCCATCATTTCCATTTAAAATGGCTAGAATAAAACTTAATGACTTAAAAATAGGAAACGAACCCTATAAATGCCAAATTCTAACATGAAACATGTAGATGTATGTTGAGTGTAGAAAAAAAATTGCAAGGTCAAATGACGAAGCAACTGTCACATGGCCTTCAATCATCATGCATTCCCTTTGAAAACCTCATTTGTCTCTCTAATATGTTCCGGTTTCTAAGCACCTTTACATCACCACTTCAGTGAAATTGGTTGAAATTTTAACCATAAAATATTGCGGACATTTCTTGACACCATGCCAGGTTCAGGGTTTTCAAATCATAATTGCATTTTGTGCGATTTAAAATCTAATAAGTTCCATGTATGTGGTCGACTCTTGCCACTCAGCCCAATTATTGTTTGTGGCCTAAAAATATACCCAAAAACATTCATATGATTTTCAACCCATTTTTGTGGACTACTCCATGCAGTTGCAGTTTAAATTTCCATTATATCCATATAATGCCTAGAAATCCACCTAAGGACTCCGGAAAGAAGGATTGAATCATAAAAAAAATAACAAATTTCAACATGGAACATAAATTTTTTGTGAAGGTCAAATGACGAAGCAACTGTCATTGGCCTTCAATCATCACGCATTCCCTTTGAATGCCAGGTTTGATTTCTAAGCAGCTTACATGATAAGTTTTGTGAAGTCGGCTAAAATTTTAATCACAACATATTGAGGTCATTTCATGACACCATCCTAGGTTTCGGGCTTTTCCAGTCATATTTGTATATTTTACATTTCGAAATCCAATAAGCTTCATGTTTGTGGTCGACTCTTGTCATTCAGCTGGTTTAAATTTACCTTCATTTTTTGGGGAGGGCTAACCATATGGTCAAGAATATCAATATGATTTTTGAACACATTTTGCAGGACTACTCCAGGTACTTACGGTTCAAGTTTCTATTATATACATTAAATGCCTAGAAATCTACTAGCATCTTAAAATGAAGAAACGAACCCTGAAAAATGCCCATTTTTAACTTAAACATTTAATGGTTTATGATCAGTGTAGAAATGTTTTGAAGGTCAAACGATGTAGTAACTGCCGTTTCACCTTCAATCATCACACATTCTCTTCGAAAACCATGCTTGTTCCTATGAGATGCTTTCGATTCGAAGCATCTTACAGCACAATTGTGTGCGATTGGTAGCAATTTTAGCGACAACATATTGAGTCGACTGCATGATACCATGTCAAGCCTATTGTACATGAGTCATAAAGATATATGATACTGCTAAATGGTATTGAACCATAGAATATGTATGGGGTGGAGGAAGGAGTAATTGTTGCTAGCTATGACTAACAAATTTAAAAAGTAAACGAGCGCCCTTACATGCATACGCTTACTAGTAGTGATAGATAATCACCCGCAAAAAAAGTGGTGATAGATATAAACGAGGGCCTGTACATGCTAAATAAACTCCCAGGCCCCCGCGTCACCCCCGTCTCGGGCGACTCGGGCGGCTCCGCAAACCCTAGCCGCCAGGGTCACTACCACCTCCCTCCCTTCCCTCCGCCGCCGCCGGAGGACGCCGCCGGGCTATGCCCGGGGGCCGACGGCGGTGGCGGAAGCTCTCCTCCCTAGATCGCGTCGGAGGGGGTGGGGCGGGACCTCCACGTACGTGATGGCGCGGTGGCGATCTGTTCCATGGTGACGCGACGGCGTGCTGAGGGCGGATGCCTTGGGCGGCGACGCGGTTGCCTAGTGGCGAGCCGCCGGCGGCGGCGGCGGCGGCGTGAAGTGGGCGTCGTGGTGGTCCGGGCCGGCCAGATCAAGATCCCGGGGCGGCGGCCCTGGACGGCGGCAGCGAGTGAAGCTCAGGCTTCCCGTGGCAGTATGGCGTGGTGCAGTCCATATCCAAGGCGGATCTGCGTCGGCGGTCTCGTGGTTTTGCCACGGATTGGTTCCGATCAGAGATGGTGATGAGCGTGCGGGATTCCATCTCGGCGGCTCTTGCGGTTTGGCGAGGTGGGGTGGGAGTCCTCCTCCTAGGCTCCAGTGGTGGCGCATTCAGGCAGTGGCCGGTGTGCCAGGGCTCCTACGGTGGCACTGCTGTTGCGGTTGGTTGCCGGATCTAGGCGGCTAGATCTGGGGCTTTGAAGGCGGTCGAGACAGTGCGCAGGTTGTCGGGTGGATTTCTTGGGACGGATCCGAGTGAAAGCTTGGTCTTCGGTCGTTGGCCGGAGCCGGTGATGAGGATGCCATTATCATCGTTTCCTTCATGAAGGCATCATCGAGGTACAAATCCCAAACCCACACAATACCTCCGGGGGAAACCCTATATCAGTTGATTGGATGACAGCGGCATTCATGTGTCGTTACCCCCTTGGGGGCGGCATTCTTGGAGATGTACTCGGGCTCGAGGGACCAGCAGATGGCTTCTTCGGTGGAGCGGTGTTTCTTTCTACATATTCATGGCGGTGGCTCTTGGCGGCATGGAGCGGCGGAGGTTTGGCGTCAGATGTGTGGTGATGGACACGCGCAGGAAGTCGACGCTGTCTGGCGTCGTGGTGGCGTCGGCGGCAGCTAGACCTGGCAAGGTTGATGCAGCAGTACAACTCTGAAGATGGATCGGTGGCAAGTGGCTGCGGCGGCCTCATACCCGGCAGGCGTCCTGGTTGAGGAGCACGCCGGACTGGTGGGTGCCCATACCCGGCAGACGTCCTAGTTGGGACCTCAGGTCTTAGATGTTAGGTCTGACTGTGATGTCTGTTTGGTATTAGCCCTAGGCTATCAACGCCCCTTCATCAATTGGATAGGTGTAGCGACAGTTGTTACTTAGACAGTGGCTTCAATCTTACTGTTGTATGACTTTGTAAGGTCTTGTGAGAATAATTAATAAAATGGGCGCATGCATCGCCCAAATGCAGAGGCCGGGGGTCCTCCTCCTTTTCAAAAAAAAATATAAGCGAAAGTTACAAGAGACCATATTAGTGTAGTATATTGTTGTAGATAAGCGAAAGTTAGAAACGAGCCATATTATAGTCAGTGGTACAGTGTATCCGCCGAGCTAGCTAGTGCAAACTTTCCTCTTATTGATTCATTGAATCTCATGCATTATATATGCATCAACACTCGAACATTTGCACGCATGCATAGCGTAGCGGCATGGAAATCCCTCTCACGTTGCTTCTCTCGACTTTTGCCATTTCCGTGACCATATGCTATGTCATCATCTTCTTCTTCCGCGCCGACAAGGGGCGTGCGCCGCTGCCGCCGGGGCCAAGGGGCTGGCCGGTGTTGGGAAACCTCCCGCAGCTCGGCGGCAAGACGCATCAGACCTTGCACGAAATGACAAGGCTGTACGGCCCGATGCTCCGGCTCCGCTTCGGCAGCTCTCTCGTGGTGGTGGCCGGATCGGCCGACGTGGCCAAGCAGTTCCTCCGCACCCACGACGCCAAGTTCAGCAGCCGGCCGCCCAACTCCGGCGGCGAGCACATGGCGTACAACTACCAGGACGTGGTGTTTGCACCCTATGGCCCCCGGTGGCGCGCCATGCGCAAGGTGTGTGCCGTGAACCTCTTCTCCGCGCGCGCGCTTGACGACCTCCGAGCCTTCCGCGAATGGGAGGCCGCGCTAATGGTGAGGTGCCTCGCGGATGCTGCTGCTGCCGGCATGGCGGTGGCGCTGGCAAAGACGGCGAATGTGTGCACGACCAACGCCCTCTCGCGGGCCACGGTGGGGCTCCGGGTGTTTGACACCGCCGGCAGCAAGCTTGGCGCGGAGGAGTTTAATGAGATCGTGCTGAAGCTGATAGAGGTGGGCGGGGTTCTGAACGTCGGGGACTTCGTGCCGGTGCTCCGGTGGCTCGACCCACAGGGGGTTGTTGCCAAGATGAAGAAACTGCATCGCAGGTTCGACGACATGATGAACAGGATAATTGCCGAGAGAAGGGCCGGTGGTTTTGCTACCACGGCCGGCGAGGAGGGCGGTAAGGACCTGCTTGGCTTGCTGCTCGCAATGGTTCAGGAAGACAAGTCACTCACCGGCGCCGAGGAGAACAAGATCACAGACACAGACGTCAAGGCGCTTATACTGGTAAACTTGTTGCTGTGATTGTCACTGGTGGCAGCCACTGAAAAAAATAGCGCGCTATAGCATCACGTATTAGACTTGCATCGCTAAA